TTCCTGCAAGGGGGGACAGGGGTACAGCTGGGGCTGGCTAACCTGGAGGAGCAGGTCATACACTGAAATATCCCTCTGCATTTCCTGGTGCTGTGTGCTTGGTGTCTGTGAGATGTTGAGATGATGAAATGTAACTATTTCTGAGGAGTGGAAGGACTCTGCAGTATTTATTTTCTGCTACAATACAACTTTATCTCTGTCTTTTTGTGAGGCTAGAAGGATTGAGCAGGGAACATCTCATCTGGCGGGGCTTGACAGATGATCTGAGTCAGGCTGCTCCTTGTAAGAGTCTGAAGTCATCACTGTCTCTGTGGGATGCTCTTCTTGGTCTTTACCTACAAGGACTCTTGATGGCTGGTTGGTGAAGTGAGGCTTTTCCATGCAGAAGGCTTCCTGTGTGAGCAGAGCTGATGCCCAACTCCAGCTCTCCAGCAGCAGACACAGGGCCATGGTTCTCCCTGCATTTGTGAGCCCACTTGCACCCATGGAGCTGCAAAGGGGCTTTTTTGGAGGAGGTAGCTCAGCCTGGGTTAGTGTGGGGCTTGGAGTGGCTCTGGCAGCTATCAGGATTACAGATACTTCAGGGGAGTTGTAGCCAGTGTTGTGCTGACTTGAAAACAAACCCCAGAGAGCGAGCTGAAATAAATGGCTTCATCTGGCACTTCGGCTCCTCAGCCTCTTGTAGCAAATTGAAAGCTGGTTCCTGCATAATTCAACACGCATTACTGTGAACAAGGATGTGTGTTGCATCTAAATAGAAGCAGGAGGCTTGTTGAAATGCCCTGTTATTGTCGAGCTGCTTCTGTCAATGAGGTGACATTTGTAGCAGGTTTAGCAGATGTATGAGATCAGCAGCTCCAGTGACGGAGGCCACGGGATGACGGAGGAGCTGCCCTCCTCCCAGCCCTCCCCAGGGAGCCCGTGTGATGGAAAGGCAGACAGACTAAGTCCCTAATAGACACAGGGTAAAACAGGAGCTGTTTCCTATTAACCTGCTCTGCTGGGTCCTTTTATTTGCATCCCTGCACCTTGCAGTGAACGCTGCTAGTGAGCTGGAGAGCTCCAGTGCTTGCAAGGACGTGTCGACATCTTGGGATGGAGATGGCAGGGTGCTGTGGGAGTTAACACCCTCCTCTCCTAGATGCTCTCATGTCTGTGACTGTCACCTTGTGCCATGGTCCCCTGGCTGCTCTGAGAGCAGAGATCTTAACTCTGATTGAGGGAGGTGCCTCTACTTTTAGAGGTGTCACTACAGGACCCAACTCTGGGGCTTCAGCACAGTGCTCAGAGCTGGTAAAAGGGGAGGGTAGGGGGGCTGCTGCCCTGGTATCTAAACATGTTGCTGATGAAGTGGGACCTCTGTCCTCCTGTCACCTTGATGGACACCAGAGAGGACAGGGCTTGAAGCCCATGATGCAGAAAGGGGAGTACATGGGGTGTGATCCCTGTGGGTGGCATGGGCAGGATGGAGAAGGACACTGAGCCAGGCGGAAAGCAGCTGAGAAAGAGGGATCTGAGCCTGTGAGTCTGCTCTCCTTCTGCCTTGGATGGTAGGAGAGTGCCAAGACTTGATGACCATCACTAAAACACTCACTTGAAGTAATTGCACCTGATAACAGCTCTTCAGCACTGCAAAGAGCTGCTAATTGCAACAGTTGTCTGGCTGCTGACCATAGCAAAGGGGATAAACCCTTCTGGAGGTTCCCACAAGCTGTAAATGAGCGTGGCTGCAGGATCCCTCCAGGCTGTGTGTCTCAGGAAGTACCTGTGTAATCCCTGCCCCCCGGGAGCTGGGCACTGGCTGAACACCCTCAGCATGGTCCTGTCCCCAGGCACATGCAAGATGTCTGCAAGATGTCCACTGATCATCCCCTGGACGGCCAAGACAGCCATCTAATTGATGTTACTGATGGAGACTTGCTGAAGGAGGATGTTTTCAAAGGCTTGCAATTGTCATTTCAGAAACCCCCTGAGCAGAATGAACTTGGACCAGGCATAGGAAGAGAACAAGACATAGAAAGGAATTCAAAGGACTTATTAGATACTGGACATAGAACGTTATACCACAAAATAATGCCAAGTTTGGTCTTCATGTGTTATACTTTCCAAGGTCTGCAAGCTGCACTGAAAGAAGTGGGAGTTTCTGAACAATCCACAATAACTGTTGGGACTAGAAAACGAGGAGCAGATCCTATGATTGCATTTTACAAAATAGACTCTAAGAAAGGTCCCAGTTTTTCTCACAAGAAGTCTCCTCTATAATGCACCACTGCTTAGACATTCCTCAGGGAATTGTCAATTGATGTAGTAAAAAGGCAAGAGCAAACTCCATGAGCTACCTCGAACAATTTCAAGTCCTCATGGCTTTACTGAACTGCAGGCTGGAAGCCAATACTGCTGCATTACTACAACTCTGCAACACAGGTCCTGCTGTAGACTTACAACCTTGGATTGGTTCCTTCATACTCAACATGGTACCAAGCTTACTGATGCAGTCGAGATGCCAGAGGGATGGGATATCATGCAGAGGGACCTGAACAAGCTGGAGAAGTGGGCCCATCTGAACCTCATGAGGTTCAGCAAGGCCAAGTGCAAAGACATGCACCTGAGTAGGGGCAATCATTGTTATCAACACTGGCTGGGGGATGATGTGATAGAGAGCAGCCCTGTGGAAAAGGACTTGGGGTGTTCTGGTGGAGAAAAAGTTGGACATGAGCAAACAATGAGCACGTGCAGCCCAGAGGACCAATCGCATCCTGGGCTGCATCAAAAGAAGCATGGCCAGCAGGTCAAGGGAGGTGATTCTGCTCTGGTGAGACCTCACCTGGAGTACTGTGTCCAGCTCTGGAGCTCTTAACACAAGAGGCATGTGGACCTGTTGGAGTGTCTCCAGAGAGGGCCACAAAAGTGATGAGAGGGCTGGAGCACCTCTCCTATGAAGATAGGCTGAGAGAGCTGGGATTGTTCAGCCTGGAGAGGAGAAGGCTCCAGGGAGACCTTACAGTGGCTTTCCAGTACCTGAAGGGTCTTCAGGAAAGCTGGGGAGGTGCTTTTAACAAGGGCATGTAGCGATAGGAGGAAAGGCAGTGGTTTTAAACTAGAGCAGGGTAGATGTAGATTAGACATTAGGAAGCAGTTCTTTACTATGAGGGTGATGAAGCACTAGAAAAGGTTGCCCAGAGAGGTGGTAGAGGTCAGGCTTGGTGGGTCCCTGCTCATTGCAGGGGGGTTGGAGCAAACTCCATGAGCTACCTCGAACAATTTCAAGTCCTCATGGCTTTACTGAACTGCAGGCTGGAAGCCAATACTGCTGCATTACTACAACTCTGCAACACAGGTCCTGCTGTAGACTTACAACCTTGGATTGGTTCCTTCATACTCAACATGGTACCAAGCTTACTGATGCAGTCGAGATGCCAGAGGGATGGGATATCATGCAGAGGGACCTGAACAAGCTGGAGAAGTGGGCCCATCTGAACCTCATGAGGTTCAGCAAGGCCAAGTGCAAAGTCATGCACCTGAGTAGGGGCAATCATTGTTATCAACACTGGCTGGGGGATGATGTGATAGAGAGCAGCCCTGTGGAAAAGGACTTGGGGTGTTCTGGTGGAGAAAAAGTTGGACATGAGCAAACAATGAGCACGTGCAGCCCAGAGGACCAATCGCATCCTGGGCTGCATCAAAAGAAGCATGGCCAGCAGGTCAAGGGAGGTGATTCTGCTCTGGTGAGACCTCACCTGGAGTACTGTGTCCAGCTCTGGAGCTCTTAACACAAGAGGCATGTGGACCTGTTGGAGTGTCTCCAGAGAGGGCCACAAAAGTGATGAGAGGGCTGGAGCACCTCTCCTATGAAGATAGGCTGAGAGAGCTGGAATTGTTCAGCCTGGAGAGGAGAAGGCTCCAGGGAGACCTTACAGTGGCTTTCCAGTACCTGAAGGGTCTTCAGGAAAGCTGGGGAGGTGCTTTTAACAAGGGCATGTAGCGATAGGAGGAAAGGCAGTGGTTTTAAACTAGAGCAGGGTAGATGTAGATTAGACATTAGGAAGCAGTTCTTTACTATGAGGGTGATGAAGCACTAGAAAAGGTTGCCCAGAGAGGTGGTAGAGGTCAGGCTTGGTGGGTCCCTGCTCATTGCAGGGGGGTTGGACTAGATGACCTTTAAAGGTCCTTTCCAACCCAACGCATTTGATGGTTCTCTGGTGGGTTTGCCCCTGCCCAGTGTCCCCAGCAGCCACACTGGGCTCTTGCAGTGTAAGCACCACCTGGGATGGGCTCCTGGCCACTGAAAGGCAAAGCCTGTAACTGAGAGGTCTTATCCCCATTAGCTCTTAATTGGCCTTTGAGTGGCTGGTTTCAAGTCACCAATTTCTGGAAGATGTCTCTAAGCTCCGATTTTCCAGCAGGATCAGGTGCCTGTGTGTCCTTTCAGGCTGTCACACCCCGGCACGGTGCCCTTGCTATTTACTGCAGGAGGGGATTTGCTTACGGGGCTGGGGGAGGGTTCCCAGCACCGCTCTGCAGATCCCCTGCTGGAGCCAGGCAGGGCTCTTCTGGCCTGCAGGGAAGATACTTTTAGCTGCCTCTCAAGCTAAGATTTAAGTTCTGCCAGGAAGCACCGTGGTGGTTCCAGGAACTGCTACCTGAGGTGTAATTAAAGGCTGGGCTCCTCGCTGAGGCTGCCTCTGAAGCACCCAAGGCTGGTACAGCTTGTGCTGCCTGCAGAGCAGTGGTGGGACAGCCTGGGCCAGGAGACCCAGTGCCTGACTTGCTGCACCAGAGCGAGCCTAGAGACAGCAACAACCTTGCCCAGAAGCAACCCCTGATAAAAACATCTAACTTTCCTAAAATGCCCCTTTCATGGGGCTGTGCAGGCACTTGTTTCTCCATGGATCGGGTTCTGCTGGAGTGTGAGGTCTCCTGTAGGTCATGTCCTGCTCCACAATATGCAGGGCTCCATCCCTTCCTGTCCATCCCATCCTGTCCCATCCAGTCCTGTCCTGTGGGAGCCAGGACCTGTGAGTTACCCACCTGGCTGCTCCAGCTTGCAGACCAAACTCAGATGACTTGCAGTTGATGATATTCCTATAGCATAGCCAAGGGTGTCCCTTCTCACCCTTTCTCTCAATGCCTCTGAAAGCTCCTCTTCACACCCATTTCAGGGTTTTCCTGTTGGCTGGAGGAAATCCAGTCTTACCTCCCTCTGTCTGGAAAGAGCCCAGTACCTGCTCATTTCCCCTTCTCCAGCAGAGCCCCAGCTCCCTCAGAGCAAGGCTCCCCTGCCCTGGCACCCTCAGGGAGCCAGGCAGAGCAAGGAGGGAACATCCCTATGCTGATGCTGCTGGCTCCTCAGCTGTGCTGCTGAACATGAGCCCATTCCCATCCATCTCTGCACGCAACAGGTGAAAATACTTCGAAGGCGGGTGCCCCTGAGCTTGCCAGATGCTGGTTATTTTAAGCCTGCAGAATGGGAGACATTGGCCACTGAGGCACAGAGCTGGTGTTTGCTGCCAGGGGACAGTGCAGGGGTCCCTGTGGGGGCAGGAGGGACACTCAGCAGTGTGGTCCTTGTCTGCTCAGCCTGGGAGAGGGGTTTGCCATGGGACAGCCAGCTCATGGTGAGGAGGGTCCTTGTCCTGCTGGAGCCAACACTTGCTGGAGGGAGAGGTTATGTCTGCTCTGCCTCTGAGTTCACACTCCTTCTCCCTGCAATTCAGGGGGTTGAAATAAACACTCCTCTGGTTTGGAAACTGCTCTTTTAAGGACGTGGAAGAAAAATAATCGTACAATAGAAGCTAGTAGA